GCAGACCCGTTGTCTAGCCAAGCCACAGCCCAGGAGACACTTCTCCTTCCATGAAAAGTTGGTGCTCAGCTCACAGCTCTGCACACCAGTTTCCCCTCTCTAGCTTTTAGGGCCACTCCTGAGCAGAGCCATGTGAATCAGCACATTTTTGGTTCACACATCAAAATACTGAGCTGAACCCTCTGTGAGACAGAAACCCTACTTCTTTCTTCCACCACATCAAAGGGAAATGAAGCCATGGGTGTGAGCAGAGAGACATCAGTTCAGCAAAGGTAAAGGACAGTGGGGGTGTGAGTCTCCTGCTTACCACCTTGTAACTTACGGGCCTGCTCAGATTGTCTCGTGACTACATTCATATTTGTCATTAATCACAATATTGCAGTCTGTATGTATTGGGGAAGGTGGGGACAGATTTTGAGGAGAACGGGCTTTAATCTTAAGAGGCACCAGAGTCAGGTGGGATCTTTGCATGGTCTTCAGGCAAAATGAGGCTCTTCTTCTGCATCAAGGGGGAAGGGAGGTGCTTTTGTTAGGCCAGAGGGCTCAAGGGAATTTAGGGTTCCAGGTGATAAAGCACTGCTACCAAAATGTCTCGGATACTAGGACCCCAATCAGGGCCTGGAATTTTGGCCTCAGTGACTAGGTGAGGCTTTTCATTAGCCACCTTTGCAGCTCTGCCACCTTTACAACTAAATCCTGCACCTGATTTTCAGAGCAGCCTGCCTTCACTGCAGAAGGTGCGCCCTTAAACATTACCCGGAGGACTTCTGGCTGTCACAACCTGCCCTCAATAGATAGTTGACTGACCCGAGTCTATTGTTTCCTTTCTTCAAAGCTTGAGAGAAGGAAACTACAGCGCTTATAACCGCTCCCGTCCCAGTAACATGCAGGTCCCAGAACCACGGCCTAAACTGATGCTCCCCCTGGTACCTGCACCTCATCTCTCATCAGAACAAGTGAGTGGTAGTGACTGTCGTGGGGTAGGATGCCAGCGGTTACCACCACTGAGTTTATCACCAGTCTCTCTTTTTTTTAACCACCTGCTCCAGAATCCTATCCTGAGGACTCAGTTTCTAGGGCCACTTCCAGTACCAACTGTCAGAGTTTGGATTTCCCCTAAAACAGAGCCCAGGAAAAGGGCCTGGGGGCGGAAAGTTTATCTAGGGGACGTGAGGAAGCAGGAGAGAGAGAGGAGGGAAAGTCAGTAATGGATGCAGTATTGAGCTGGTAATGATGTCGGCAACCAGTGCTCAGGTCTGCTGGGGACCTTCAGAGACGGGGGAAGACCACTGGTCTCCCTGAGCTCTGCTCAGCCCCAGTGCCCACCTCCACAGTTAGGAGGCCAGTGCCTCCTCGGGTCCAGGAGAGCGGCTGAGGACTCCTGGTGGGCTGGGAGGGTCACTGTCCCGGGGACTGTGAGGCCGGCTTGGTTTGAAGATGCTTGTGAGCGTTGCCTCGTGCATCGCACAGACACACATTCATATGCACACATACACAGGACCCCTGGCCAGGCTGCCAGGTTTAGCAAATAAAAGCACATTTGGATTCCATGTAAACAGTATATTTGGAACATACTTACACTGAAAAAACTATTCAGTGTCTGAAATTAGGGTTAGAGTATCTGGGCATCTTATCTGGCAGTCCTACTCCCAGTATGTGTGAGCAGCAAAGCCTCCACCTCTCTGTCCAACCTACTACAGATACCAAAAGCATAAGGGAGCAAAGAAGAAAGAAACGACATCATCAAAGTGCTTCAAGGGACGCTTTCAAAGTGAAAGGACCACCCACAGAACGGTAGAACATTTTTTACAAATCATGTATATGTGATAAGGCACTTTTATATTGAATATATTTACATCTGAGTAATAAAAAGACAACCAATTGAAGATAGGAAAAGGACAAAGATAAACCTGTGGACAATAAGTTGATGGAAAGGAAAGGTGCTCAAGGTAGCCATAAGAAAAAGGCAAATCAAAACCATGATGAAACCACATCATACCGACTAGGATGGCTGTAATAGAAAAGATAACATCAAGTGTTGTTGAGGATGCAGAGAAGTCAGACGCTTATACCCTGCCAGTGAGAATGTAAAATGCAACAACCACTTTGGAAGCCAGTCTGGCATTTCCTCATTAAATGCAGCATTTGACTGAAATTCCTACCCTCGATACATACCCAAGAGAAATGTAAACATATCCACACAAAAACCTGTACACGAATGTTCAAAGCAACATTATTCATAATAGCCAAAAAGAAGAAAAAGCCCAAATGTTTCCATCAGTGGGTGAAAGAAAAAAAAAAGGGGGTTATCCATAGAATAGAATTATTATTTAGCCATAAAATGGATGATGTATAGATTCACACTGCAACATACATAGGTGAAATGACATCATTATACTAAGTGAAAGAAACTTAGACACGAAAAGCCACATACTGTACAATTATGATACCAGTTAACATGAAATGTCTAGAATAGGCAAGTCCATGGAGACAGAAAGTAGACTGGTAGTTGTCTAGGGCTGGGGGAGTTGGAGGGAAGTGAGGAGTGACTGCTAAAGGGTGCGGGATTTCTTTTTAGGATGATACGTCAAATTGTGATGACTGGTTACACAACTCTGGATACTAAAGACCACTGGATATGGTGATGAATTACATCTCAATAAAGTTGTTTTTAAAAAACACACAAGCTCAAGCAAATGAACAAAGGCTTTGCCAAGTGGCCAGCCTTGGTGGAGCAATGGAGGATTCACGCCGTGGAGATCAGTGGATGCCCACGTAGGCTGCTGCTTAGTAGAAGATGTGCTGGGCCAGGGACTCAGATGTGAAAAGAGGAAAAGATTCACACCAGCAGTTAATCCTTGCCTGTAATATCTAGGGAAATTTTCTGTTCATTTCAACTGGAATCGAGGACCAAGAACTCTGTGTGAAAAAACCCCTTCCCATCTGATAGTCGACTTTCAGAGCACCACCCTTCCTAGACAGCAGCGCCCTCACTGTTCTGAGAATGTGGCAAACACAGCCCTCTGCAAGAGCCCTTTGCAGCTGCTGACCTTGTGCTTGTAGTGCTTTCCCCCAGGTGTGAACATACTGGGAATTCAGCAACCTGGAGAGGAGAGCAGGACACTGCAGACGGAATGGTACCACAAAGACACGGTGGTGGGAGTCAGTGGCAAGCTCATGGGGAAGGGGCTGGGGGGTCCTGGGGAGGCTGGTGAGCAGAGAGGCCTCTGATGGCGGTTGTAGAGTCAGTGGTGAAATCTGACAGGACAGAGTGACAGTCCCTGAACAGTAAAGAAAATGGAGTGGGGTTATCCCAGAGGATCGTTCAGCTGGTGAAGTTCGGTGTTTCTATGGTGTAATTAGAGCAGATACAAATTTCTGAGAACTTCTATGTTTAATTCAGGGTACAAGACAGGTAACATAAGTAGCTTTATGAGCAATTTTTTGGGGGTCACTTGCTACTCCATGAGTCTGATGATGCATCAGCCTCTTCCTGCTAAAGAGACCACCTGAACTTCCTTTTCATTGGAACTTTTCGTCTGGAGTCCACACTGTGATAAGGCAGACCAGGAGGGAAGAGAACGGCAGTGGTGTTTCACAGTCTGGACAGTTCTGTCTTGATGATGTCTGCCTGCCCCCAGCCTAAGTGTTGTCCCACACACAGAATGCCACACGGCACAGAAGGTCCCGCACGTGGGCATGATGGTGACGGTGACTGTAATCTTGACATGGTCTGGGGTGGTACCCAGGGGAACATGATGGAGTCGTGAGGGAAGGAGAAATCACACCCTTAGTAACACTAAAAAAGGAACAGTTGCCTGTATTTACTGACCCCTGTTCTCAATTCAGCTTTAATGCCATTTGCTCACTGAAGCTTTTTGTGCTAGCCACGTGCTCTGTCCATGTGGACACCAGCTGGCTGGCTTCCTGTGATTCCCCGTTTCATTTGCAGAGACAACACTGCAGTGTAATGAAGAGCCCGAGCTCCAGAGCCAGACTGCCTGGGTTTGAACACCTGTGCCACTGCTTACTATCTCTATCGTGTATCAGGTTCTCATCTGTAAAAAGAGGGGTGTTAATATGACTAACAGCACATATGATCGTGTGAAGATAATGCTGACTTTCCTGTCCATGCTGGCGCATAGATGGTCAGTAAAGATACCCTATCATGATGGTTACTGACCTCTCCTGGGGCCTCTGGCTCCCATTAGGCTAGCGCCCTCTTAGTGCAGAAGCCCTGGGTGGTTCATCTCTGTATCCCCCACGGCACTCACTCAGTTGTTGGCGAAGAGCTTCAAGGATCAGTGGCAGGAGATCTGGGGAGACTGTAATGAGTGTCTCTGAGTCTCCCTGCGCCGTCTATTGTGCCCGGAGAACTCCCCTCCCTCCTCTCCTTCCTTCCTTCTTTCCTGAAGAAAAGGGAATAAAAACGGGGCAGTAATAGTACCCACCTCGCAGGGTGGCTACAAAGATTAAATGAGTTATCAGGTAAAGCGCTTAGAACAATGCCTGATGCACAGTGCCTACGTCATGGCTGGTACTCCTTGCTACCTTTATTTTCCCTTTTTCTTGGTGTATATTTTTTCTGATTATGAACGCCATACTTATTTGTGGTGGCAAAGTGTGAAAATGTAGGAAAAACCCCATCAGAGTGAAGGAGACAGAGGTTTGCACAAATAAGAAGACAGAGGAGGAAAGATGAGCACAATCATGAGCGTGTGTACAAGGTGCAGAGGCCGCTGGAGGAAATGGTGGACCTGGTGGGGATGGAAGGTGGCGTCCACCAGGCCCCAGGAAGGCTCCACAGACTAGGGGAAGGTTATGGAGGAGGAGGTGAGTGGATGAGGGGGAAGGCCATTAGCATGTGCAAAGGCCCAAGGCACTGAATGCCATCCTGGCGCTGTCACTGCCGTTCTGCATAGCCCCCGTGTGCTGGAGGGGAGGAGCGTCAGGAGAGTGGGAAGGGCCAGGAAGTGAGAAGCCCCGTGTCAAGAGGAAGGATGGAAAGCTTGGAGGTGCCATCATCCAATCAGCCTTTAGGAGAGATGACTCCGGCACAGGCAGGACCAATGGGCTGGAGGAGACCTCGGGAGCAGAGACCTGCTGTTAAGGCTGGTGCCGAACTCCGGAACAAGTTAGAGACGGCCTCGGCCGCTGCGGAGGCACCCCTGGAATGGGCCAGACAGGATGGGCTGGAGACGTGGAGGGAGCGGATGTGGGGAGGAAAAGCCGCGCAGCCAGGACGACGCCCAGGTCCGGGGCTTGACAGGGAAGTTGGCGTCACCAGCCAAAGCAAGGGCTACGCGAGGGAAACCATGCTTGTGGAGGAAGGTGCTGAGAGTCTTCTGTCATTCCCAAGAAACCACGCTGGTGACCGTATTTATCTGTGTGTATAAATGATAGTCCATGGGAATTTTTATTCATTAAAAAAACCCTTCAGTTCTTCATTATTAACATATTTAAAATAATGCACCTGACTGCTTTTTTAAAGTGGAAAAAAACCTTAAACTCTATAAACAATTTGTTATTCAGTCACTAAATCATGTCTGACTATTTGCGACCCCATGGACTGCAGCACGCCAGGCTTCCCTGTCCTTCACTGTCACCCGGAGTTTGCTCAAATTCATGTCCATCCAGTCAGTGATACTATCTAACCATCTCATCCTTTGCTGCCCTCTTCTTTTGCTTTCAGTCTTCCCCAGCATCAGGGTCTTTTCCAATGAGTCGGTTCTTCACATCCGGCGGCCAAAGTATTGGAGCTTCAGCTTCAGCATCAGTCCTTCCAATGAATATTCAGGGCTCATTTCCTTTAGGATGGACTGGTTTGATTTCCTTGAAAAAGAAAAAAGAAAGAGTCTTTGGGGAGCTTTTAAAGACAATCTTTTAATCAGGAACAGTTTGCTAAGATGTTCTTTTCAGTTCACACTCCTGCCAGCTGTCATGTTCAGGTAAAACCAGGCTTTTCCCCTACTTGGAAACTGAACACAGAATATTCTCTGAGTTATTTCAGTTGGAGCTCAAAAGACAGGTGTGACTTAGGGTGGGCAGGAAGCATCAGGGATGAAATTGCTTTGTTATTTTTGTTATGACTGATAATGTCCTTGTGAATCACTCACAGGTGAGAAGGCAGAGCTAAGGGTAGAAAGCAGGAGCGTACGAGGGGGCGGCACTCAGCACAACTTAAGGTCCGGCGATTTTGCCTGGGGCAGCAACCAGCCTCCCATCCCTGCACACAGCACCCCGGAGGCTGGAGAGCCTGCTGCCGGGGGATACTGCCCACAGTGTCTGCACCAAGCCGAGGTTGAAGATGCTTTCCAAGGCCCTCCTGGATTCTAATTCTCATTGGCTGAAGGTAGGGAGCTGGAGCAGGATGCAGGAACCTCACAGGAGTGAACGTAGGGTGTGTTTGGGGCTCATTACCATCCTGCTATTTGATGCGACAGACTTTTTGCTTGAGCAAACCTTAGACTTCCAAACCTTTTCTTAGGCCCCCTCTGTGCTCTTCCTTGTAAAATCTAGTTTTAGCGAGTCCCCCGTCCTTCACATCTGAACCCCCTTAATATCTAGTCATCCCGCACCATCACCCCAGGGAGATGTCCAACCACCCTGCCCTTTCTCCAGCAAGAATCCTAAGTCAGTTTAGCCAAACCCCTCTGACCCCTAAAGCTTCCCCTTAGGAAGCTCCCATCCACTGACCCCCCTCCCTGCTCCTTAGCTATAAATCCCCATGTGGCCATACAAAAACCAGTTGGGAAAGGGTCAGGAAGAGTATATGCCACGTGTCTGCTTCTATTAAGACCTTCACTTGGAAATCCCCCCGCCTCCATGACCTCAACTCTAAAACCTTCCCCTGTGACAGCAATCCATCCTTCCTGCTCAGGACTTTCCTGTTCAGCATCTGACTGATGCTGGTCAGATGTAGAAGGATGAGAATAATTACTCTTTTAAAAATTTTTTATTTGATTTTTGGTTGCACTGGGTCTTTGTTTCTGCTCTTAGGCTTTCAGGGAGGTGAGCATGGGCTGCTCTCTAGCTTCCTGGCGCACAGGCTTCTCAGGGAAGTGGTTTCTCTTGTTGCAGAGCATGGGTTATAGGGTGAGGGCTCAGCAGTTGGGGAGCGCAGGCTTAGTTTCCCTGTGGCATGTGGTATCTTAGTTCCCAGGGACTGAACCCGTGTCCCCTGCATTGGCAGATGGATTCTTAACCATGGGACCACCAGAGAAGTCCACCTCAGACCTTCTGACCTTGAGCAGTTTATAGAAATTCTGAGAGGGGGCAGTTTATGGGGGGGGGGGATGTATCTGGTTTGAAAGAAACAATTTGAAACTTTCAAAAGGCCCAAAGGTAAATGCCCCACCATCTGATGAGACCAGAGACTGGAGCTTGGGAGAGATCAGGACCAAGTATGCAGATGTAAACATTAATTGAAGCTAATAGTTGAGGTCATCGGAGTAAATGGGTTCCTGGGGTAACAGCATAGGCATAGAAAGAGACCACCGATACCGTGACTGAACACTGAGGAAAGCCCAGTCAGGGACAGAAAAGAGGAATCAGGAGAAAGGGATGAATCATTAGACACTCAAGTGAATCAAATGTTATAGCTATTGCAAAGGTATTTTTTTAATGTATTTTTCACACAGTGGCCCTGCTGAGTCTCAGGTCCCCCTGAGCAGCTCTGAGGAGTGACGGTCATGGTCTTTGCAGGGTAGAGGCGGTCAGCGCCTGGGCAGAGAAGGGACGGGCCATCACCCAGCAGCTGCACGTGCTCAGGCGTCTTTCCCAGAGCTTCACAACTGCGCCTGCACAGGAGAAGCCAGGCACCTCCTGCCTGCCACTTCCTCCCCTTTACCACGCAGAACCTAGTAAGGCCTCGCTCACATTTATCTCCTAGAAATGCTCTCCATTTCATGACCAGTTCTCAGCGTAAATGTTTAGGAGCTCTACCCTCGGGAATTATACTTCATGGGTCTGACTCAAACTCCGACACCTGCGTGACTAGCAAGAAGCCTAGTGACCCTACTGTGATGCTTCATGGTCTGCACTTGGAGAAACAAAGTCAGCCTCAAGTCTGTGGTGGGCATCAAAGAGGAGCCAAAAATGATGAGTTTTAAAAAATTAAAAACACATTAGATGGCCAATCACAGTATATGATCCAGAATTTTTCAGAGGCTAGAGTTCCAGACATTTCCTCATCTTCTCCATCTCAGCCTTCTTCATGACTATAACTGCCCCCCCTCCCCCAAAAGCCAAACCAAGGAATCTCAGTATACCTCTTGTTTTGTTTTGGGATGTGTGGTATGGCTTGCAGGATCTTAGTTCCCCAACCAGGGATCAAACCTTGCACCCAGACAGTGAGAGAACCGAGTCCCAACCACTGGACCTCCAGGGAACTTTCTCGGTGTGTCCGTTGTGACCCAGCATCTAAGCAGGCTCCTGTCGAGGACCCCATACCCAGAAAGGCCTTTCCAGTCCTGGTCGCTGGTGTTAAGTACTGCACCACACAGAAGGACGTGCAGCACATAAATCCCTAAAGGCAGGCATGGATGTGTAAGCGGCCGCGTCACTGAGACAGCCCGCGTGTGCTGTGTGCAGGACAGGATGGAGTCGAAGGACAGAGGTTCCAGGTTTGAGATTAGAGGAGAAATGGTCGTTTGTAAAGTTTTAAAGATTAACTTTTAAAGAGTCCATTCATAGTCACTGATGTTTCTTGTTTAAACTGAAATAAATTTGGCCCCTGCAAAAAGACACACTCAAGCCATCCTTCTGAAAAACTATTCTGTTTAATAGTGCATTTCATTTATGCTACAGATGAGCAGGATTGGGAAAACAGAATGAAAGGTCATCCCTTCTGCTGGGAAAACTTGGGGAGCTCCATCCTAACCCAGCAAGGAGCCCTCCGCTAGGCTCAGGCCCGAGCTTCCTCCTCAGGGCTTTGCTCTCTGCATTCACACTTGGCTGCTGAAGTCAGAGGTGGGGTTGGGAGAGGTGTAGCAACTGGGGCCAGAGGTCATAGGTCACAGGTCTGAGGGCGGGGCAAGCTGGCTGAGTGAGCTCCTTAAAAGCATCCTTGGTAGCTAGGGGTTTAGCTTAAATCACTTTCCGTCACAGGAGTGGCCGGAGGAAGAGGAGGGAAGGAAAACGGAGGCTAGTGCTAAAGGCTTTGGATCCTTCCCCTCAGGTTACGCTCACAAAGGAGCTGGGCTTCCCAATTAGTCCTGTCATAAAAGGGATGAGTGAGTTCTCCACCAAATGCGTGGAGGTTTGGTCTTGCTGCTCCAAGAGCTCTGGAGGATACACGGTCACTACAGAAAACCTCTCAGGGTCTTCACCCACACCTGCCCAACAAAGTAACAAATCCCTCAGGACCAGGTTTCCATAATTAATGAAGTCAGGAAACAAAACAGCACATTCCTTATCAAAAGGAAGAAATTCCTCATCAAAATTTAAAGCTGGATTAGCAGTGGCTTTGAAATGCAGCCTCCATTTCCCCTTTCACAACCCAGACGTTCTTTCCACTTTCTTCTGTGCTGACTATGCCGACTCCAACTAGAGGAACCCCTGCAATTTTATTCCTACTGTGCTTCCATCCCCACTGTGGAAAGGCTCTTCTGGTGTGAGAAAAATGGTCTAGTGCAAACTCCCCTCCCACATGGAAGGAGACTGGTCCCAGAGCTTCCTCTGCTCCCAGCACTCTGTCTGCTGCTGGCAGCCTAGTTCTTCAAGGCTGGAATCATTCCTGGAGAAACTGACTAGGTTGCTAATCACTGGGCCAGGATGATTTGCGCAACAGGCCCCATTCTCTAAGGTGAAAGGCTAGAGTCTGAAGGGACACGTCCTAAGTTCATACTCAGGCAGTAAGGCAGGAGCTCTGGAGACTCAGGAAGTGAGGAAAAGCGGCGTGTGGCTCTCTTTCACGTAGACTCTCTGATACTTACTTCAGCAGTAACTTGGAGGGAACTTTTGCTCACTCCCATTACATTCAAAGGCTTCTCTCCAGTGTGAATTCTCTGGTGGCGAACCAGAGCGGAGCTGTACCTAAAGGCTTTCCCACACTCACTACATTCATAGGGATTCTCCCCTGTGTGGATTCTTTGATGCTGAATAAGGCCTGAGCTATAGGTAAACTTCCCTCCACATTCCATACATTCATAGGGCTTCTCTCCAGTGTGGATCCTCTGGTGCTGATAGAGGTGTGAGCTCTGGCTGAAGGCCTTCCCACACTCGTTACATTCATAGGGCTTCTCTCCAGTGTGGATCCTCTGGTGGTGAATGAGGGTGGAGCTCCTGCTGAAGGCTTTCCCACATTCGTTACAAGCGTATGGTTTCTCTCCAGTGTGGATCCTCTGGTGGTGAGTGAGGGTGGAGCTCCAGCTGAAGGTTTTCCCGCACTCGTTACATTCATAGGGCTTCTCTCCCGTGTGGATCCTCCGGTGGAGAATGAGAGCTGAGCTGCAGCTGAAGGTCTTCCCGCAGTCACTACACTCGTAAGGTTTCTCCCCAGTGTGGATCCTCTGATGCTGAATAAGGTGTGAGCTCTGGCTGAAGGCCTTCCCACACTCGCTACATTCATAGGGTTTCTCCCCAGTGTGGATTCTCTGATGCTGAATAAGGTCTGAAGTTCGATTAAAGCTCTTGCTACATTCATCACACTTATGGGGTCTGTCTCCCACAGGGAGTCTCTGATGGGAAATGAGGTTGGAACTCACAGTGAAGCTGTTCCTCAGATCGCCGCATTTCTCACTTCTCCCTCCCGTGGGGGCTCGCTTCTCCTCAGCTGTCACTTGACCAAAATCCTGCATCTTCCTATTCAGTCTCTCTCCAGAGGAGCTCCCCAGCTGCCTCTTCAGACTGACTTCTTGTTCATAGGCTTCTTTAAACTTAAGACCCTGAGAAATATCCTTCTGGAATCTTCCCAAGAGCACTCTGTGTGATCCTGTATCTTCAGAAATTTCAGAATCAGGCTCAGTTCTGGTCTCACCATCTGGCACAATATAAAACACAAATATCATTTGTTCCTTGTGGAAAAAAGACTCAAAACCAGAGACAGGCTAATCACATCATGTTCACAGGCTAAAAGCACATGCCACTTATCAATGTGCAAAAAGTCCTGCCCAGGCTGTATGCAGCTGAGGCAGAATAAGAGAACTGGGCCAAAGAAACAGGGAAGGAGAAAAGCAGGAAAATCCAGAAATAAGCTGGAAGTGAAGAGAAAACTGGATCAGGCAGAGGCAGAGAACCAAAAAATAGGAGTGGCAGGACATACTGTTAAATGAAGTGACAAAGTCCTAGAGGTCAGAGGCTCAAGATAAACTGGGAGATGGTGACAGCTGGGCCAGGGAGAGGACGAAGAGTGGGTATAAGAAACGCAACACGGACCGGTCTGTCTCCCACAGGAAGACACAGCCAGGTGTGGAGAAGCAGCAGCAGATCAGGAAGCCCCAACAAGGGTGCAGCCCTGCAGCCCCAGGGGAACAGGACACTCTGGTTTGCAGTAACGTCACCTTCACCAAGTCCATGGGAACAGGCAAGAGACAAAGGTCAGTCCACCTCCGGCCTGGGCCTAGAACACTGTGCTAACTGAGCGTGGATTTGTAAACAGTTTCTATGTTTGACTTTGCCATTCTCAGCACTCTGGGGTTTCTAAGGGAATTTAAGGCATAGAGGACGAGTGGAAGGGTTAGCATGTTTAGTCTGTCAGTAACTGAAGGAGTCAAGGCAGGGCAGTGAGGGTTAGGGACAGAAAGAGCTGTTCCTCCCTCCCCCGAACAGGTACCTCTCAGGACCTCTCTGCTCTCAGTTCCCTTCCAATCCAGGCCCCTCGGCAATTCCTCTCACTCCAGCCCAGAGATCACGGCAAAATTCAGAAAAGGGATTCCTGCTTATGGGGAAAGACAGGACAGGGTTTATCCTGTTCGTACCAAGTGGCCCAGAGCTCCATCCCAGACCCAGGACTGGCAGGGACAGAGAAGACACGCAGGGGGAGGCCTCACGTGGGAGTGGGGAAGACCCTGGCCTTGCCCAGGAAACCGTCCTGACAGTGGGTGAGGGGGAAGGAAGGAACAGTCACAGGCTTAAAGGTTAAGAAGCTAACTGCTTCCTGACACAAGGTAAAATTTCTACAAGGGCAGCAGTTACCCGAGGTCCATCCACAAAGCTACAGGTCCCTAGAGGAAGTCCAAGAGAGAAGGGGAGGAGCCTGACAAGAGTTCCAGAATCTTCACGTGGGCAGAGAGCAGTGCCTCACATGTTCAGGGATCCCAGTGTGTGAATCTTTTCAGAAAATCTCTGGGTTATATCTTAATGTTAAGTCCTAAGAATAACATGAGGAAAAGTAACAGATTGAGACTTTAAAGGCCAGGGCGGGTCCTGCCAGTCACTAGCAATATGACCTCTCCTTCCTCACCTATAAAATGAGGACAATTCTGGCTGCCTCAACAGCTGCGACACTGTGAGAACTGAAGGAGACTGTAAACACGCCTAAGGAACTACAGACTACAAACGGGAGTCACTATTATCATTGTCAGAACTTTCTGAGAGGAGTCAGTCCTTAGATGATGATTTTCAGTGACTCAACTGTTACTAGCAAGGGCGGCGGCAAAGGGAGGCCAAGAGGGAGTTTCACTGAGGAAGTTTCACTGAGGAAGCATCGTTCCTACCCAGCGAGAACACGTTGCCGTAATTCTCCAGCATCACGTCCCTGTAGAGGTCCCTCTGGGCAGGCTCCAGACGCTTCCACTCCTTCCGGATGAAGTACACAGCCACATCCTCAAAGGTCACCAGCTCCTGAAACGACACGTTCTCACGTGCAATTTCTGGCTCAGGGATGAGGCTAGTGGAGCCAAAAGCTAATTCGGGATGGGGCTGAAGAACACTTCCCAATATTGGGGAAGTGGAAATGGCGGTCAGGGTGGAGGAAGACAGAGGAGAGGCTGAGACTAAGTGGAGTCCATGATTCTGCAGGGGAGTCCCACGGTCCTGACGGGGGAAGCATGGAATGGGATGTTACTGCACAAGACATTCCCGCAAAGTGGGAAGGGAAAGAAGGATAAAGCACGGCTCACCTGGGCCTTGGCCTTTAGGAGTGCAGCTGCCAGCATCTCATCCCCCAGACTGTCCTTGTCAGGAAATGTGGGGCCTTTTGAGGAAGGAAGGGCTGAGGACAATGAGAGGGTCCATGAGAGAGTTGATCTGCACTCAAGCCTCTCTACCCGTTACAGAAACTCCTGGGTCCTGGGACAACCTAGTACCCCCCACTCCTACATCTCTAAGTTTGCTCCCTCTGCTGCTCCAAGAGGTGCTCACAGCCAGCGTGGGCCTCGTGGCCTGAGCAGAGCTGCCCACAGCCCTGCTGACCCTGGCCCTCTGGTCTGTCCCAGGAAGCACCAGCTATCTTGTTCGTGCCTCTTCCATCATTCTCCACGTTTCAACTCAATCTCTTGGACTTCTTACCCAGAGGAAAACTAGCGTCACTCCAACTCTGAAGGAAGTCATAATGCCCATGATTCTTCTCTTATTTTCTCGATCCCCAGATCAAATCTACACACTGTAAGTTCTGTGCTTGATTATGTATCTTTTCCTGTAATTCTTAAGTTAACATATTGGTCCCTGAGAGACTAAATCTCTGGAGATACTAGATTCTGTAGAATCATGCAGATAAAAATGTTTTTAAATGAGTTTTCCTGATAAGCATGGGAATAATACTTCCTTGGACACAAACTGGCTCCAAAGTCAGTGGCACAGTCTGTGAGAACAAAATACAAATACTTTTCATGCCCTTCCTCTTCCATCTACCCCTTTTGCTTGGGATCTGCACAATAACTCCCCAGAGCTCCCCTAAGCACATGCTCCAGAAGAGCACAAACCAGGGCTCTGGCGCTGGCTGTTATAAAGCACCTGGAAAATGGAGTTTGGTGACTGTCAGTTTTCTAAATGCTGCAGGAGGAACCCACAGCCCTTAAAACAATGTCTCAGCTATAAAGCCTATCAAGCTGTACCTAATGAAGGCTGCAGTTAGCCTTCTCCACTAGGCTGGGAGTTAGTGAAAGGCAAGCACTATGTCCTCTCTAGTCAGGACTCCAGCAGTTAGCCTGGCACCTGGTGAATAAGCGATTTCAATGGGTATCTGCTGAGTAAGTGAATAAAGGCATGAATTCCTTACCGCTCTCAAGCAAGGCCTGAGGTTCCTGAGATACTCGATCAGCCTGAGTTTCCATGGGTTGTGCTAGAAGCTCGGATCTCTGGTCTCCTATTTGCAGAGTCAGCAGGTTTTTTATGAGAAGGTGGAAGCACTGCAGAAGAAAAATTACAAGGTTCAAAGATAATTTTTAAAAACCCTCCTGCATACGGAAAGAGGGGAAGTAGCATTTCAGTTAGTACCAAAACAGCAAGAGGAAATGCAGTAACTGGGACTAGTCTTTTGGGTCAAACACCCAAGTTCCTCTACAACATCCCACTTTAGGCTCCCCAACTCACACTGGGTGGTATTTCTAACAAAAATGGAGAACACAGGTGCCAAATGATGCTATTAACAAAGTTAAATACTAAGCAATTACTCAAATGAAGGACAATGAAAAGGAGTGTTACAGGTGGCAAAATGTCTAAGTATCATATCAAGTTTTAAGTATACTTGGAATAATGGATAAACTAACGTATACCAATTTTTTTTTAATCCTCATTAAACATTTTTCTTCTACTAAAAAGAAAAAAAAAATTTTACTATGGTATGTTTCTAGCTGTTGTAGTAAATGTAGATGCTCTTTTTAGAGGAAAAGGGGCCAAGAAACAGCCCCCAAATAACAGATATTACAGAATACTTCCAGAACTTCCAGAAGTTCTCTGACTCTTTTTAAAAACCCTGTCTCACAGAACTAGGACAGGTAGCTCAGATCTATTAAGATCAATTTGGGCATTCCCCAGAGCTCCAGTGATTAGGATTCAGTGCTTTCACGGCCGTGGCCCAGGTTCAATTTCTAGTCGGGGAACAGAGATCCTGTAAACCATGCAGCATGGCCAGAAAAAAAGATAAACTCTTCCTCCCTTTCTCCCTAAGACAGTTTTCTGTTTTCAGTGTCAGTCAGCAGTGGGATGTTATTAACGGATTTGGGCCCTTTCTGTGGTCCTTATATAGTCTCATCACAGGGTGTGTGGACATATTCGCCAGGTTCTGGGAGACTAGTCCCAGTTGCTGTGTATCCTCGCCCTGAGAAGTAGCAACCAGCCTGCTTTTTCATCTCCCTTCTCTCATAACAGATTTCCTTGGATCAGAATGTAAGTCCCTGAAGCAAGAACCAATGCTTTTTAAGAAGCCTAATATCATTTATTACTCCGTTTTTATCCCTACTAAGGTCCCTGCTCCCTGGCTGCCACGGCAATCAAAAGGGGTCTGTTGTCTGTTGCTCCAGTGAACAACATGTCAAGTTAGTGCCTAGACTAAGATTTGAATCTCCAGTACAAGTCTGTCCTCAAGAATCAACAAGTTGAGAAGAGTGCAGCAGTCCCCAGAGCAGCCTGACACTTAGGCAAGAACCTAGGGGAAAACCCTGGATTTTGTCCGCCTCCCTCTCTTTATTCATCTACTCATATAACAAGCATCTGTTGAGTGCCAAGTACATTGCAGGGTACTCCTGAAAGGAGTATAAAAATCAAGAGTGACTGTTGCACTCATGTAAGATATAAAAGGAGAAGGACCCCGAGAGTCACTCAGAGTTCAGAGAACTCGAGTCTTTGGGGAGCAAGGGGCTGTAGAAGGCCCACCACAATGCCATTATATAGTGAAAAGCAATGAATCAGGCATGAGCCAGGCCCACTGACAATCAATATAACACACCCTCTTGCTATCATCACCCTCCTAGCTGGGGCCCTTCAGCTTTTTCTCAGAGTCAGCCATCTTCTTCCTATTGCCCAACCTGACAATCTCCAGGACTGGTTATAAGCAGACACTCCCAATAAATCCACTCTCAGTCTAAACTCTCCTTAGAAAGGAAAGTCAGAGGCTCAGACTCCAGAGAAAGAAGTAGCACTCCCTCCTCACAGCTGGGTTAACCAAAGCTGGAGCTCAAAGGCATACTGTTGAGAACAAGTCCCCAGTGTCTGGACCACAGAACAATGTTTCCCACAGGAAGAAAAACCTCCATTGTGCCCTTAGAGCTTCAGGTCCAGGCAGGGCCCGTCCCCTGCGCCACTGCCCACCCAACTCCCTGCAGTGCTCCTAGGGACTGGGAACGGACCCGGCAATGAGAGCAAGTCACGGAAAGCTTTACCTGCTGGATTCTCCTTCCTTCTCTGGAGTTAGTCTCTAGAAGGCCAGAGTAGCAATTACTGGGAACTTGGCAGCCTCTGTTCAAATCCCTGGGAGTTCAGACTTTAGTTGATATCAATGCTGTAGGACTAAGGAAAAGAAAAAGGAATTTCAAATGTTTATGTAAACTTCACTTCTAATATAGATACTTGGAGCTAAGAGGAAGACAAAGGACATGCTAACAAATACTGATTAAGACCACAGCTGGTATTTGTGTTACACCTTTAGAGCTGGAAATGAAATCACGGTTCTCCATTTCAACCCAAGACAAGAAACACCTTCTCAAGTTCCTAAGGTTCTGGCAGCTAACTTGCTACTAGACACTCTCAGCCACTTCAGGGAGTCTATCCCACTGCTCTACAGGTAAGCCATTAGAAAGGGCTTTGGACGCTTAACTGGAAAAAAAATCCACCCCCTGGACTTTCACCTCTCAGAGTCCTAGTGTCCTATGGAGCTTCGGTGATACAACCTTCTCCTTCCGCAGGATTCTCCACCAAACACGCGAAACCAAATGATGCCCACTCAACACAACTTCTCTTCTTGGGGATAATAAATACGTTTAGTTCCTCTAAGTGCCCCACAGATTTCAAGTTCAGGATCCTGCTTCTCCTCTCCTTGAGTTTCAGAAAGGAAACACCGGGTCTATGTTCAATCCCAGTTGAAAAGCGAATCAAATCAGGCACCTAATACAGCTGGAAATGGGACCCAGTGGTACACCTCTCCGAAAAAGACTCGATTTACTGGGCGCCAGGGGGATTCTTCTGTCATTTGAATGGTTCTAACTGCGCACACTTCCTAGAACCCCTCATTCTCTGGGCCGATCCCAGTTGATTAAACCCTCGCTCCCGCCGGGATAACTGTTAACATCATATGAAAACGTCTCCGGGAATGACCAAGTTAGGGTCGTTGTCATCGGCCGTTTTTAAAGAGAGGGATGCCTCTCCAGCTGTACTGGAACTTTGAAGGGCTGGAGCCGGGCGCTGTCGCAGAACCAGAATTGCAGCCCCTTTCCTCCCCCGACACAGGGTCGGCCGTGAGGGGCGGGGTGCCGGGGAAAGCAGAGTTGGTACCGGCTCCCCCCCCCGGCACCCTGCTCCGGGTGGTCCTGGGGACCCCGCGGGCCGCGGCGGCAGGGACACCACCCCTTCTCCGGCGATCACTGCCTCCGTCCCACCTCGAGCCGTGGGGGCGGCCGGACTCACCCTGGGGGCAGGGACGGTAGATTTAGGGGACCGGACACCAAACAGGCCCCGTCGGACACTGTCACGGACCCACACACCGGGGACAGAACAAAGAACGGAAGTTCCCTCCGTTTCGCTTCCGGGTCGGTCTTAGTCACCCCTCCACCATCCTGGGTTCCCCCACCCACCCACGTCCTTTTGTTCCCTCTAGGAAAATGGGAGGTCTTCTCCTCTCTGTGGTTTGCTGACTGGGCGCGGGGCCCCAGGGCTGAAGCGACACGGCGGGCCTGCTGTCCCCCGCCCTTCGCGCCCCCTGCTGGTCAGGCTAGGAGTGCGCCGCCGCGCACCTGGTCCGCGGCGCGCCTGCCCGGCTGGGGAGCGGAAGGCGGGGCGCAGGGTGCCCAGCGGGTGCCGGCTATGAGCTTGTGTGGTCTCCCGTGGGGCCGCCGAGGGCCAAGCCTAACGCCCTGGGTCCAAGCGATCCGAGTCCCCAGCTGACCCGCGGCCAACAGAAGGATATCTGAAGGATTCGATATAGAAAACTCGCCCATATTTGAAGTTTCCAAATCAAGTTTATGCTTCCAAACAGACCAAGTTCATGTAAAAGTGCCTCCTTTAAATGACTAAAATGTGAAGAAAAGCTTCTGGCCCATCAGAGTTTACGTGAGGACAAAAACCTGCACAAGTGATACAAGCAGAAAAGACGGGAAAGTTACCGATCCAGATCCACCCAGAACCGAAGAAAACTGGTGAAGCCCCATCCATGTGAAGAAAGCGTGAAATAAGTGAAACGCTTGAGGGAATGAGGGGCGAGGGTTCGTGGTTCACTCACGTTTATTCCCTTCCAGGACGAATCCTGGAAGTGTCGGAATCAAATCCTTCAGATTATAAACAAAATGAAATCTTGTGATCTTCTTGATTCCCCTATGGCCTTGCCTCCCATTTGATCTCAATTCTCACTGCCTTCAATATTTGTAGCGCACCCATTCAGCTCTGCAGTACAACCGACCTTACTCTCTGGCAACTTCAGTCTAAAGACAGTAATCTAACCAATTCCAGTAAAATATGGTGGTGGTGCTCAGTTGTTAAGTCACGTCTGTCTCTTTGTGACTGTAGCCCGCCAGGCTCCTCTATCCATGTGCTTCTCCAGCAAGAATACTGAAGTAGGTTGGATCTTCCCAACCCAGAGATTGAACCGCGTCTCTTACCTCTCCTGCATCGACAGGCGGGTTCTATACCACTAGTGCCACCTGGAAAGCCCTCATCTACTGACACTCCTCAGGAAACAGCTCTTAAGAGTCCCAACACCGTCGACACAATCAACCCTATTACTGTGGACCCTAGAAGTCAATTTGCAGTTCACTTTTTTGGTGTTTGCCCCAGAATCCAGCCATCTGGTTAATTCCCAGCAAATTCTCAAAAGCCCTACTATTAATTTTTCTTGAGTCTGTGGACTCTGAAATGCCTTGAATCACAGAGAGGATTCCCAAGGCAGTCCATCAAGATGGAGAAGAAAACATTTAAACTTCCATATAGCTTTTATCTAAAAGAAAAGAAAAAAAATAGAATTAAAAAAATGTAAGCTTTGGTAGGCACAGCTGCCACAGGCTCTATCGCCTGCCTTGGCTCTGGCTCTGAGTAGGGGACTCCTGATCTAGCTGGAGCTTGGGCCCCTCTTCCCTCCCCAGCCCTCCCCTGTCCCCTCCCGTCACCCGGGGGCCAAGGGAATAACCAT